GCGGGCGGCGATGTGGGCGTGGGCGGCGGTGGTGGTGGCCGTGTTGCGGGCGGCTCCCAGCACCGGCGACGCATCCGCTTCCGCCTTCGACGCCCGCCAGCAGGAGAGCCCGCGGCCTGCCTTCCGGACGCCCGCGGGACCCAGGAACCGTCCGGAGCCGTACTCGCTGTCGTGGGCGCGGGCGGGGAGGCAGGCGCCCGTACCGCTGCAGTTCAGCGCCTCCAGCGAGGTGGGCGCCAGCATCCTCAACCACGTGACCCAGTACGGCATCAACGAGACGCGCTACCTCACCGCCGTCAAGGAACCCAAGCTCTTCGAGGAGGGTGAGTTCTGCGCGCGTTCGGGCGGCCGTGCCATTCACCGGATGATGCGTAGCGGTGGCAAATATTCACCCATTATGCGGACAAAGATCATATATTCCCAACACGACTCATGGGTCAACGAACGTGTTACTGACTCGTCTCTCCCCAACAGGCTACCACCTCCAGCGCGGACATCCGGGACTCTTCCTCGCCGCTTTCAACAAACAGAAGAAGAAGAGCAAGACGCTGGCGGAGTTCGGCTACGCTTCCCTGAGGGCCTCCGAGCTGCTGTCTAGCCAGTGAGTGGGAGGGAGGGAGAGGGGAGGGGGAGGAAAGGGGGAAAGGGGAGGGGGAGGATAGGGGGAGAGAGGGAGAGGGGAGAGGGAGGAAAGGGGGGGAGAGGGAGTGGGGAGAGGGAGGAAAGGGGGAGAGAGGGAGAGGAGAGAAGGAGGATAGGGGGAGAGAGGGAGAGAGGAAAGGGAGGATAGGGGGAGAGAGGGAGAGAGGAAAGGGAGGATAGGGGGAGAGAGGGAGAGAGGAAAGGGAGGATAGGGGGAGAGCGGGAGGAAAGGGGGAGGGAGAGGGGAGAGGGAGGGAGAGGGGAGAGGGAGGAAAGGGGGAGGATGAGGGGAAAGGGAAGGAGAGGAAGAGGTGAGTGGAGGGAAAGGGGAGAGGGAGGAAATGGAGGAGGTTGAGGAAAAAGGTAATACGAAGAACAAGTGAGAGGGGAGAGGAGAGAGAGGAAGGGGGAAGGAAAGGAGAGGAAGAGGGATAGAAGAGGAAGGGAAGAATGAAGGATAAGGGAGGGAAATGGAAAGGGACAGAAAGAAGACAATCCACCCAATAGACTGTTTCTTGAGGTCATGTAAAGAAGCGCAGGCGTTTGGTCACAGGGAACTAATTCAACTGGGAAAAATAGCTTGTAATGCTAAGCCTGTGATAGGATTGATATACATTGATCGCATAATCAACGGCAATTGTATCAGAAACGAGAGCCACCCAAAAACCCATAGGCAACAACGAAACTTTTCAGTACATATCGTTAGAAGCAGATTCATTCGTAACAGACAATAATTGATGATACATAAAAGGAGAGTGAATCGTATTCATGTTGGCAAATTTAGAAAAGTTGTGAATGAGCATGAATATCTTCACAATACAAGTGACGTACCTGACCGGTTTCGATTATATTTCTGACGAAGATATAGTCGAAACCCGGTAAAAATACATCTCTTTTGTATTGTGGAGATACACATTCTCATTCATACCTTTTCTACATTATAGGAGAGACTATTCGGCGTAAGCATTTGATAGACCGTAATTTTGCCATCCGCCTTTGCTCAGTGGCGTGGCTGACTTATTACAAGACCGCGAAAATTGGAATAACAGTCAGCAAGGGTACTTTGAGAAGCAAAATGGCTTGCTGATTACCTTCGTCAGCTCGAGCGTCAGGAGCGTCGTAAGGTACTTCTGTAGGAGGCGAGGAGTCTTCAAAGAAGATTGAACTTTGTCATTTACTGGTAGCAGGACGGCTTTGTGCTGCCTGTTTTTATTTTATTTTTATTTATTTATTTATTGTTTTTTGAGACTTCCAAACCAACATTTACGTAGTCATCGGGAACATGACAAACCTCTTACCCTCAACATAGCGACCGTGTCCACCGCAACCACCGGCCAGATCGAGTTACGCGCGAGAGGAGTGCAGGCGCGAGCTAGAAGTTGTAGTTGACGAGAGTGGGAGGACTGACTATTTCAGGAAGCAGAAAGGGACATGTAGGTATGGGGATATTAGGTGAGGAAATAAATGAAGGAAAGAAAACAAACGGACAGACGGAAGGAGAGGAAGAGGGAAAAGGAGAGGAAGAGGGTGAAAGGGAGGAAGAGGGTGAAAGGGAGGGAGAGGGAGAAGGAGAAAAAGAGGGAGAAGGTAAGGAAGAGGGAGGAGGACATGAAGAGGGAGGAGGACATGGAGAGGGAGAGGGAAAGGGAGAAGGAGAGGAGGAGGGAGAAGGAGAGTCAGAGAAAAGGATAAAAATGGAGGAGAGAAGTGGAGAAAGGATAAACAAGGACGAGGGAGGAGTCGAAGAGGGGAAGACGGAGAGAGAGAAGGAGAGGAGGAGGGAGAAGAGACAGTAAAATGAAATAAAAGAATAGAGTAGAGAAAATGAGAAAGGATAAACAAAGATTAAAAACACAGCGAGAGACTAAACTGTCCACAATTCACCCCTTCACCCCCCCAATGAAAGAAAACTCACACCATTTTTCCTCCTTCCCCCTCCCCCTCCTAACAGGTTCCTTCTGACGCGACAGCAGGCTCTCTTCGGACTAGAACAGGTGTCTCTCAGGAACACTGCGCTTTACGACGCCTGTCCAGTCAAGTCGGAGGAGTTCTCGGAGCGACCCTGCCCCGCCTACTCCGTCATGTACCGTACTTTGGATGGGACGTGCAACAACCTCGACAAGCAGGAATGGGGCGCCGCATTCCGCCCCTTTGCGCGATTTCTGCCACCGGACTACAGGTGAGAGTAAAATGAAATAAAATACGTTATTATACAGTACAGACGATTGATATTATAACTTCTTTTTATGGCACGAATTAGTTGATGATTGTATAGTATAATGTACAGAGCAGTTCAGGAACATTTGCATTTATGATGAAAATATCACTCTGGAATAGGAAAATAGTCTGAGATGACTGTAGATGTTATGAAGGGAAGAAAATCGTAAGATATTATCAAGAAGAATAATATTAATTAAAGGGTTTTCAAGGCGAATTGATAAAAAAATATATATATATTAAGGAAAAACAAAACAGTCAGAAACGTTTTTAAGGAAAATTGAAATTATATTTCCATCGTGGAGAAACACAGATCCAGGACAGAACACCCAACAATAGGTTTCTTTTTTTTCAATTACGTAAACTTTTCATAGTCAGGGCGATCCTTTGTTAATAGCTTATTGTTATTTAAGCTTCGCCTTTCTCTAGCATGAGGCAAAATTCTTATTTGAAAATGGCGCCAAATAATCTTGTACCTTTTTCGTGTTTTTTTTTTTTTTTTTATAGATATTTCGTTAAAAATAAAAAACTGCGAAAAGGTATCTCTTTTGCTCTATTTCATGGTCGTATTTTTATCATCATTCTAAACAGCTGTAAAGATTGCGTCGATAATTCTTATGATAATGATGAGAATTGTAAGTGATAATAGTAGCAATGAGAATTATTGTAAATAATGATTATGATGATAAGTAATCGTGATGATTATGTTACTGATGATGAGTGATTATGATGATAATGATACTAATAATAAGTGTAATAATGATAATAGTAATATTAGTAAGGATAATGATAATAACGACAATAATAATAGCAGTAATATGTAAGTAATCATAAGATGATAATAAAGACAATGCTAATATGATAGTGATAATCATAATGATTAGAAAAGTAATAATTAATTTCATTATTATAATAAGCATATAAAGACTCACACACACGCGCGCACACACACACACACACACACACACACACACACACACACACACACACACACACACACACACACACACACACACACACACACACACACACACACACACACACACACTCACCCCCCCACCCTCACCCCCCCCACACACACTCCCCCCCCACCCCACCCCACACACACGCCACCCCTACCCCCACCACCTCCACTCTACCGCAATTGCCATTCCGTTGCAGCGACGGCATCGAGGCCCTGCGAGAGAGCGTGCGCGAGGGCCCCCTGCCCAACCCGCGCAAGGTCAGCGCCACCGTCCACCGCTCCCTCAACAGGCCCTCCTACAAGATCACAATGATGGTCATGCAGTGGGGGCAGTTCCTCGACCATGACATCACCGGTAGGTCGGGCCGAGCTGTCACGGCTGCGGCTAAGGGGGTGACTTCAGAGCCGAGATGTGGATATGTATATGTATATGTATATATTGATATGTATGTGTGTATGTATATATCTACACACACACACACACACACACACACACACACACACACACACACACACACACACACACACACACACACACACACACACACACACACACACACACTTACATACATACATAATACATATATAAATATATACAAACATATATGTGTATACATGCGCATATATATAATATATAATATATAATATATGATATACGATATACGATATATGATATATATATTCATATCTGTCTGTATCTATCTATCTATCAATCACTATAGCTCTATATCTCTATACATCTTTCTCTATATATGTACATATGTATATATATATACATATATATTTATTATATATATTATGTATATGTTTATATATATATACATATATATTTATTATATATATTATGTATATGTTTATATATATATACATATATATTTATTATATATATTATGTATATGTTTATATATATATACATATATATTTATTATATATATTATGTATATGTTTATATATATGTATATGCATCCTTTTCTAGTTTTATGCATGCATGTGTATATGCATATGTATGGTGTATATATATACATGCATATATATGTATATGAAATATATGCAAATTACACATGAATATGTATATATATATATATATATATATATATATATATATATATATATATATATATATATATATATATATATATACATATATATATACATATATATATATACATATATATATGTATATATATATATGTATATATATATATATATATATATATATATATATATATATATATATATATATATATATATATATATATATATATATATATATATGTATATATATATATATATGTATATATATATATATATATATATATATATATATATATATATATATGTATATGTATATATACATACATACATGTATAAGTATATAAGTAAATATGTGTGCGTAATGAGCACTCCCATTCCCTCGCCCCCCGCAGCCACGGCGCAGTCGCGGGGCTTCAACCACAGCGTCCCCAAGTGCTGTAACGAGCGGACGGGGAAACCACTGCCTGAGGCGTTCAGAGTAAGCGCTGTTTTTTTTTGTTTGTTTGTTTCATGGGTGAAGTATCTGTTTGTTTGTGTGTTTATTTGTTATTTTGCTCATGGGATTATTTTGTTCATGTGTGTTTTTGTTCTTTATTTATTTATTTGTTTATGTTTTTTTAAGTCTTATTTATTCATCTATGTTTTCATTATTTGTTTTACTTGTGTTTTGTTACTTATAATAAAAATAAGTTATCGATAGGCATATTACATTCACAAGCCAGAAAAGACCCTCTAAATTAGGCACAACATATGCTGAGCCCCCCCCCCCATAAAAACACTAATCTAAGCCTCTTTGTCTAAATCGACTTATCAAAAAGCCACTAAGCTAAGCCACTTATTGCACTGCGTATCCGAGCCACTTATCTTATACCCTGCCCTTTTCCCCCCTCCCCCCCTTCCCCTTCCCCTTCTTCACCTTCTCCCTCTTCCCCTCTTCCTTTCTTCCCCTCCCCCTTCCCCCCTTTCCCTCTTCCCCCTTCCCCCTCTTCCCCTCCCCCCTTACCCCTCTTTCTCTCTCCCCTTCCCCCCTTCCCCTTTCCCTCTCCCCCTCCCCCTCTTCCCCTTCCCCTTCCCCCTTCCCCCCTCCCCCTCTTCCCCCTCCCCCCTCCCCCTCCCCCCCCTTCCCATACCAGCACCCGGACTGCCTGCCCATCGAGATCCCCGAGAGCGATCCCTTCTATTCCAAGTGGAACCACACCTGCATGGAGTTCGTCCGTTCCTCGCCCGCGCCCAGAGCCAACTGCGCCCTCGGGCCTCGTGACCAGATCAACCAGGTGAGCGATATGTTTTTTTTTTATGTTTGGATGTGTGTTTTTTTCTGTTGGTTTGGTGTGTATTTCTCTGTCTGTCTCTCTCTCTCTCTCTCTCTCTCTCTCTCTCTCTCTCTTCTCTCTCTCTCTCTCTCTCTCTCTCCTCTCTCTCTCTCTCTCTTTCTCTCTCTCTCTCCCTCCCTCCAGATCAACCAGGTGAGCGATATGTTTTTTTTTTTTAAGTTTGGCTGCTGTGTTTTCTCTCTGTTGGTCTCGTGCGTATTTTCTTTCTTTCTCTCTTCTCTCTCTCTCTCTCTCTCTCTCTCTCTCTCTCTCTCTCTCTCTCTCTCTCTCTCTCTCTCTCTCTCTCTCTCTCTCTCTATCTCTCTCTCTCTCTCTCTCTCTCTCTCTCTCTCTCTCTCTCTCTCTCTCTCTCTCTCTCTCTCTCTCTCTCTCTCTCTCTCTCTCTCTCTTTCGTGTGACCTCGCGACCAGAGCAACGAAGTGAGCGATATATTTTTTATGTTTCGATATCTATGTATGTCTATTTTTTTTTCTGTCGTTTTGGTGAGTATTTCTCTCTTTCTCTCTCTTGTCTGTTTCTTTTGTGTCCCGTTGTGTGACCTCGCGACCAGATCAACCAGGTGAGCGATATATATATATTTTTTTAATGTGTGGATATTGATTTTCAAATTGATTTTATTCACACGTTACACTGTTTATGAGAACGGTAGAACTGTCTGCAAATTATTCAAATCTATCGAGACCATACTGCACTTGCTCTCGTTTACAGTATGTTAACTGTTGCATTTTCGGATGTGTGTCTTTCTGTACGTTTTTATTATCGTTTGATGTGTATTTCCCGGTTTCTTTCTCTTGTCTGTTTCTCTTGTTTCTCGTTGTGCTGTTCTATTTCTCAGTTTCTCTCTGTCGTTTTCTCAGTATCTCTATATTTTTTGTTTCTATTTCTGTCTCTCTTTCTATACATTTCTCTTTTTGTCTACATCTCTTTCTATTTTTATTTCTGTTTCTCTTTCTATATCTCTTTCTCTCAGTTTCTCTCTGTTTATTTCTTTTTTTGTCTATTTTCTCTCTATATATTTCTCCTTTTGTTATTTTTCTTTCTGTCTAGTTTTCTTTCGCCTATTTCTCTTTCTGTATATTTTTATTCTTGGTCCGTTTCTTTCTCTATTTATTTCTCTTTCTGTATATTTCTCGTTGCCACCGAAAGAATCTGACCCTATTTCAGTTTGAACTTCCAATGCAAGTGCCAGTAAGCTAAAATCTTAATAGTTTTTTTCATTAATAAAATTCTGGGATCAAATGCTTTACTATATATATATATATATATATATATATATATATATATATATATATATATATATATATATATATATATATATATATATGGCTTAGACACAAATTTAACTTTTTCTTCCTAGACTGATTGATTACGGTACACAGGTATACAGAAGTTGAAAGATCTATCGATCTAAAATTATTGGAGTTCGTACCATACAGCAAACAACAGTTTTAAGGATAAACAGCGTCAGGCATTTGTGGGATGCATTTCTCAGTCCTGACAGGAATTGGTTAGCCCTGATGCATTGGGGATGTATTAACCAGCGTGGCGTGCTCTTGGAAAATAACAGTGTTGAATAGCTTCCTGTATTTATTTTGCCATTTTCTGTGTCCTCAACCATAGTGTCTATTTTTTTTGTGTGTGAAAGTTTATCTCTACTTGGAAATGATCTTTTCAGTTCACACCAGAAGCTGTTCGTATTTTTACGTGCGATGTTTGCTGAAAGGGACTCAGCCTTTCGTACTTTTTCATTCCCTTTACACTCACGAAGCGCACGTTTAAATGAAGCCCTAGTCGCCCTCGCCAGATTGCGTGATCGCCAGACTGAAAGCTCTCGGTTCCCTCTTGATTACGCCTAAGTGCTCATTCCATGCGGGTGCCACGTGAACGTCAGTCAGCTTGTGGTTACGAACAAAACTCTCTTCAGCATTTGCAGTTGAAATAGAGTACCATTTATAATTCGGATGTATGGCGTCGCATGTTGATAACTCGTGTGACATTAAGCAAAGTTTCTGAAAACGACGCAGCATCGTATTTTTCAACTAATACCACTGAGATATACGCAGTTTTCCACTTCTGTCCACTATTAGTATTTTGGCGTATTCAAACCTCACCGCGATCCCTAGTCCCTCGACACATGGAAAAGAACACCCTTTTCCCTTCGGCCCAGGTACCGTCCCTTAACTAAGCTGCCACGGAAGACCCTTCGCTTGAACTCGAAACGACGTATAACCCCGGGAATTCGTTGCTCAATTTCTCAGCCACCGATGGTCTGGTGCTCGTTATTTCCACAGCATAGATCTTTAGTCATAATGGATTCATGAAGACGGGGCACGGAAATGTCTCCGGAATTTCACTCCCTTGGCGCCTGTCTTGCCCGAACGCCACAGGTTGTAGCAGTGTTGTAGTTCCGCAGCGTCCCTCCTCAGTGTTGTATCGGTGCTCCTTTTGGGGAGGCTGTTCCCAGGATGAGCCGTCGGGGAGCCTGTTAGTTCCTCCTTGTTTGCCGGTGTCCGAAACTGAATTTGACTCTTGCACTGTATTCTGGCAATGGCCGGAGAAGGGCGCGATCTTCATTACACAGCTTGATAACGAAGGAGGATCGCATACCCTGATACCGAAAGACGTAGATTTATATAAACAGACGGATAAATAAAGGAATGGGAGAGAGAGTGAGGGAAAATCTTATGAGGAGAAAATGCGAGAATATATTGTGTTCGGATAACCAACGTGTATTTATTTTTCTTTCTTTCTTTCTTTTCAGGTCACGTCATATACGTTTTTTATACACAACTGATTTCTCTATTAATTTATTTTTCAGGTTACGTCATACATCGACGCCTCTAACGTGTATGGATCAGATGACCAAGAAATGGCTCAGCTGCGTCTGTGGGAAGCCGGTTAGTATATATTCTTTTAGTCAGTTGTGACGCGAGGAAAAAAAATTACCAGCACCCTTTTAACACGCTTCTATAAGACAGAGGGAAGAAGGAGGAAGGGAGGAAAAATAAAGGGAGAGGGGTAGGGAGAGAGGGAAGGAGGGATGGAGGGATGGAGGGAGGAAGGGAGAGAGGGAGAGGGAAGCAGAGAGAGAGGGAGAGACTAAAGGAGAGAGAGAGAGAGGGAGAAGAGAGAGTGGGAGGGAGAAGAGAGAGAGGGAGGGAGAAGAGAGAGAGGGGGGGAGAAGAGAGAGAGAGAGGGAGAAGAGAGAGTGGGAGGGAGAAGAGAGAGAGGGAGGGAGAAGAGAGAGAGGGGGGGAGAAGAGAGAGAGGGGTGAGACGAGAGAGTGGAGGGGAGAAGAGAGAGAAAGGGGAGAAGAGAGAGAGAGAGATAGGGAAGGAGAGAGAGAGAGAGATAGGGAAGGAGAGAGAGAGAGATAGGGAAGGAGAGAGAGAGATAGGGAAGAAGAGAAGAGAGAGGGGGGGGGAGAAGAGAAGAGAGAGGGGGGAGAAGAGGAGAGAGAGGGGGGGGAGAGAGAGAGAGAGAGAGAGAGAGAGAGAGAGGGGGGGAGAAGAGGAGAGAGGGGGGGGAGAGAGAGAGAGAGAGAGGGGGGGAGAAGAGAGAGAGGGGGGAGAAGAGAGAGAGAGAGAAAGAGAGAGAGAGAGAAAGAGAGAGAGAGAGAGAGAGAGAGAGAGAGAGAGAGAGAGAGAGAGAGAGAGAGAGAGAGAGAGAGAGAGACAGAGAGAGAGAGAGAGAGAGACAGAGAGAGAGACAGAGAGAGGGAGGGAGGGAGGGAGAGAGGGAATTAGAGAGAGAGAGAGAGAGGGTGGGAAGAAGAGAGAGAGAGAGAGAGAGAGAGAGAGAGAGAGAG